GTGATTGCTTATACACATACTAGATATGTATATATATTTGCATGCGATGTAGATATATATTAAATATGTATATGTGTGACATGTAATATTAGGAGACCAAATCATAGAAACATCTCTTTCGATAATATTAAGTCGGTAAACGTGAGGTAATTAGATTGACCCACGTGGCCTTCCATCGTTATAAGTAGGAACCGATTCCCGGTGTAGGTTGAGTTGGTCGAGTCCCTCGAGACTCACTTATATCGTGATTCGCTATCTTGCTTATGACATAGAGATGTCACCGGTGACCTCAGGACATTGTATGCTTGGTCGAGTCCCTCAAGGGTATATCATCAAATCAGACTCATCTTGTAACGAAGGTATTGACTTAACCGAGCATCATGGTTGGTCGAGTCCCTTGAGACCATGGTGATTTGGAGGCCGAACAGGACGGGAATCACAAGGCTTAGTGTGATTGGTCGAGTCCCTCGAGGTTACACTAAGACGTTGATTGGATCCTGATCCCCACTAGAAGTTTGCCGGAGACTTCCGTTTCACGTGTTGAGGGTGTCGCGTGACTCGTTAGTAAAATAGTGGGAGCATATTAAGATAGAAGTCCATATCTTGATAGTTTAATACTTGTAAAATCTACATGTTATTTATTTCTGCTGCATCTTTATTTTCAGAAAATGTCGCTTTCAAATCCCTTACGTGGCATACTTGATGTCAACCGCCTCACTTGTCCAAATTATACGGATTGGCTCCGTAACTTGAGAATTGTTCTCACGGCGGAGAAAATTGTGTACGTCCTTGATATAGTGATGCCTACGCCTGAAGAAGGGGCAAGCGAGGATGAGATCGCTCGTTACGTGAAGTATATTGATGACTCCACTCTTGCTCAGTGCTATATGTTGGGCTCTATGACTCCTGAGTTACAGAGACAATATGAAAAGATGGATGTCAGATCCATTCTCCTACATGTCCGTAAATTGTTTGAGGAACAGGAAAGAACTCAGCGATATGAGATATCCAAGAGACTCTTCCGCGCTAGGATGACTGAGGGGACACCAGTTCATAACGATGTCCTAAAGATGATTGAGTGGATAGAGAAACTCACAGGTCTAGGAATGGTCCTAGTGGATAACTTGTGTGTGAACATTGTGCTTCAGTCCCTACCAGATTCCTTTTCACAGTTCATAATGAATTTTAATATAAACAAGCTTGAGGTGACTCTCTCAGTGCTCCTCAATATGTTGAGGGAGGTAAAGAGTACTATTAAAAAAGAGAAGCCAGTTCTCTACACTGGTGAGACCAGAAAGAAAAGGAAAGCAGAAAGGTCCCTTAAGAAAGGAAAGGGCAAGGGCAGACCAGGTAAAGCAAAGGTTGCTAAGAAAGACCTAGCAAAGGACAAAGGCCAGTGCTTCCACTGTGGTAAAGATGGGCACTAGAAGAGGAACAAAAGCTTGATGAAGCTTCAGGTACATTGTAGAGCAAAGAGTACCTTGCAGAAAGGGCGAAACAAAAGCTTGATGAAGCTTTAGGTACATTCATGATCAGTCTCCATTTGTTAGACTCTTATGATAACACATGGGTATTGGATACCAGTAGTGCTTATCATATATGCAATTCGTTGCAGGTTCTGGCAAGGCTTAGGAGATTAGAGAGAAGCGAGATGGACCTCAAGATGGGTAATAAAGCAAAAGTTACTATTGGCGAGATCGCCCTACATATACCTGGTGGAGCTTTTATTGCATTAGATGCATGTTATTTTGTTCCTTCTATTATCAAAAAATATTATCTCAATTTCATATTTGATAATTAGTGGATATAAATCAATTTTTGAGAATAATGGTTGTTCGATATTATTAGATGATAAGATCATCACGAAAGGAACATTGCATAATGGTTTATTTATGTTAGACACTACTCCACATATCATGAATGTAAATGTGTCCAAGAGGAAACAAGATAAGATGAACAGTGCGTACCTATGGCATTGTAGGCTAGGTCACATCAAGATTATATATATATATATATTATGATGCTCATGGATCTATACAATGGGAATCGAATCATGATGAGATCATGATAATATATATATATATATATATATATATATATATATATATATATATATATATATATATATATATATATATATATCATAATGATAATGGATAAAAAGACTGCGTGTTATGTCACATGTGTCATCACTCATGTGATTAACTTTCAGGGCACATACGACTAGTATTATTAAGGTAACAAACTAACCAATCCTCAAAGGCCTTAAGAAACAGATCATTGGTGCAAAAGGAATGTGGGTTAATAAGCTACCTAACATCTTATAGGCATTGAGAACTATATCGAATATCATATCGAAAGAGTCTATCTTCGGTGCGACCTATAGAACGCTTCCAAAGTCATCCTCATGACACCAAGGATGGAGGGTTTTGAGGCAGCAACATATGAGCATAGATTTTAAACTAATATATGCCTTAACAATAGTGTTAAATCTTATGTGTACTTAAGAATATTGAAATATAAGAAACATGTAACTAAGTTACATAATTAAGGTGTTTAGCCCTAAGGCATCAACTTGGGTGACTTGGTCTTCTAGAAAGTCAAAGTTAGTGACCAAATTTACTCAAGAAGAATACCAGTATGAAACTGACAGGGACCTTATACAGTCATCAAAGTCGAAGCCAGTGACTGAGTTATTTCCTCTTTACTATGATATCGTTTTTCCTTTGCGATGACTTGGTTATGAAACTATCCCATGCGACAACTACAAAGGGAGTTGATACGACTATAATAATTAACTCTTTGATTAAGTCAATTGAGGCAACCAAAATAGATAAGTCAAGCATTGAGACAATAATGTGTGAAGAGAAAAGAATTGAGATAATTGAACATACACTAAGGAATCGAGTTTAGGCTTGGCTAAAGAAGTGGATAAAACATTTGACAACTAAAGCACCCGATCCTTCTCCTTAGTGGATAGGAAAGAGGGGGTTGGAGATATAATGAGTCGACTAGTCGAGATTGAAATCATAATACCAACCTGTTTCAATAAAAAAATTAAAATATCACTTCTAAACTTTGTTAGTTATCGGAGTATCCTTGATCTTAAACCTCTCTTAGGATGTAAGATAGTATCCTAACTCTCCTATAGACCTAAAAATAGATATTGAAAAATTTTATGAGATGAGAGGATGGAGGGAGAATTGAAGCTCACCCTCTTGGGAATCAATATATAAATACTAGTAACGACATGTCAACTTATAGGGACAAATCTCATATACAGGTACCGACATTTGGTACTAAATGAGGATTGAGTACTTGAGTGCTAATACTCTTAAGTGCTTGGAGATCAATGTGGAGTCCTAGTCATAGAAACTCTAAAGGTTTATGGTGACTTTCAAATCAACCCTAGTTGTTCCCTTTAAAGATGATGATTAGACCTCTCTCGACTTTGGAGTATATGAGAACATAAATTTGATCCCTTCAACCATATGTTGGTTAGGGTTTAAGATTTAGATGAAACGAAAGATGTCATTTCCTGATCTAAGGTGGAAGAGGAGAAGTGCTTTTGAGGTTTCAGAGATTGAAGATTGGATGATAAAAAGGCAAAGAAGGAGCACAGAAGGTTTAAAATATGAGCGGGTCTCTTATGCTCCTATGAGGCTCTTTAGAGTTCTCTTTGTATACGAAAATACTTTTTCATCTTCTTTATACATAATCTTTCTTGTATTGACTTCCCACTTAAAAAGTCTTCTATTAACTTCTCACTCAAGAAGGATTTTCCACTAGGTAGTTTCCACGTCACCCAAAAGGTTGATTGGTATTTGAAGGCTGAATGACATATGTGGTGATTTTTGATTCCGTTATTAAATCAAGCACCATAAGAAAATTACCTAATACACGTGATCAAAAGTAGAACCATAAAATATGTTAAGTCAACCGAAAACCCTAATAGAATATATTCTCAAAATACTTTTTATACATATAAAATAATTTTCTAACTGCTTACGCTTACAATTAGATCACGAGAATGATTAACAAGGTCTAATAATTTTCTCTCTACTACCTAATCTGTTTTGGGAGTTTGACTTGAGCATCGAGGAGTCCATAGGAATACCATCCGACATCGATCTTAGTACAAGTAGCTTGGAACACCACATCGAGCACTTTGAAGCATCTTGAGCTGGTAGCACAAGTCTAATTTAAGCCAAATTGAGGTCAGATGATAGCACTTACATAGTAAATAACATAATATCCAAACTGATATTCTCTTACTTAATTATTGAAAATCAGATATAAGATCATTTTAGTTACCCTATTAACAAAGAATCTCAAAGTTATAAAATTAGGTTGGATTATGACGAAGTATATTTTGAATGATAATTTTGATAAACAATATTTATACTATGTATATATTTATTTATTTGGTAAGTACTTAAATACATATCTACAAAGAAGACACCTAATAAACATGATAACAATCAAATATTCTCCACAACCCAAACTTGTATAATGATTATATCATTGGTCACAATCCAACTTATCATAAGTATGGGTTAGGCAACATTTAAAGCATGAACAGTGTATGTCACCCGGTGGGCCCGCCTGGTCCGCACGCTCCGAGAACGCCACGTCGGCGTCCTTTTCTGCGGTCGCGCTTTTGCTGACCAAGGGCCCCTGATGGAGTCGCCGGCGTGCGGTCCGCTGTGGCTGATAGTGTGTGCCCTCGCTTTTGTGTTCGGTGTGTGGTCCGAGTCACAGGGATCGCACCCTTCCGATGGGAGGCTGGAGTAGCGCGTCGGACAACCCCCTGCATCCGTTCCCACTCACTTCTTGTATGGAATGGAACAGCAGACTTCCCACGTCCAACCTCTATCTCTTCTCCACGTCGGGTGTAGGTGGCGATGGGACCCGCGAGTGTCCTTGGCCGAGTACTCTTGTAAAGGGTGGTCCCACCCTTCGTTTGTCTCCGTTCCTCCATAAGATCTCTGCCCCTCTCTCTCTCTCTATATTTTGGAATCGGCGTCTACGGGACTTCGATATGCGAGCGAGGGGGCGAGCGCAGCTAAGAGGGGCAACAGGAACGAAAGAGGCGAATTGGAACCCTAGATGCGTCCATGCGTGCCGATCCACGCTTCTTTCGGACGAGCGATCTCGTGAACGCAGGAGGATCTGATCTCTTGCTTTAAACCCCTTTATCTTTATTCTGGTAATGGTCGTGCGCGCGCCTTTCTGGTCTCTTTCTTTCGTTTTTTTCTGTTTAGATGACAATGTTGTGATTTCAGGTCAGCAATCGGTGGTTCTAGGATCAGGGGGTTAGGTTTTCTGCCGATGATACCGGGAGGAGGCTGTGATTAGTTTATCCTCTTGCCTTTCTTTGGAACTGCGGAGATCTTACATTTTGGCTAGTTTTCCCGGCTGTTTTCTTTTGGTGAGTATTACAGAGGGTTTCGTGTTGCACCGCAATGGCGGACAAGCGCATGAAGGCGGTCGTCGAATATGATGACGCTGAGGATGGGAATAGTGAGGAGGGAGAGAAAGAGGACTCTGATGATTTAGAGCTTGGTCTCTCACTGGCCCATTCGGAGATTAGGGCGGGGTTTATGGGTGGCGGGCAGAGGGAAGGCCATAGCAGGAAGAACTTGCCTTGGGAGGACCAGGGTGTTGGGTGCTCGCAGTTTGGCTCACCGCCGGAGCCTTTGAGGCAATTTGATTTTGGGCAAGGGAACGTGAAGGACTGGGTAGAAATGAACGATTGTAGAGAGGACGTGGTGGAGGTAGGTTCTGTGTCTCAGGTGAATTATGTATCACGTGACACCTGTTTGGAGATGTCCAATTCTGAATGTCAGAGGTTTGCTCAACAAAAGCGGCGTAAAGTCCTTCCTTCTCCAGAGTACTTTCTTGGTGCCTTGGCTCTTTTCTAAATCCATATTTTACTGTGTAGCGATGAATTCATCAGAAGCTTCGTTGTTGACTCATATTGTTGATGATGCTTTTTCTTCATTGTATTCTTATTTGTATCTAATGCATTAAGTTTCATTTCTTGCAACTTATCATATGTCACTAGAATGGTCAAGATGACATTGCATTGTCTTATACTTTGTACATATCCCTTGAAAATGATTGCTTTTGTTAGTTACTATCCTATTTCAAATGTATAATGATGTTTCTTTGGACTATTAGAGTTGATCTACATTCTCGGAGTTACACCCCATTAACTTCTTGCATTCTTCTCATTATTTAATAAAGTACTGTTATTTTTGGATAGAACACCAATTTGGGTGTCATCACTGTAACTAACTCACATAGAATTGGTCCTGGGATGTTGGCACCATGTTTAGCATTTTTGGACAACTTTGCACATCAATAGGATGTGATCATCCATGATAATCATAATCACGTGTTAAGCATTCTCATTGACACAAAGATAATATGATTCTATGCCTATTCTATAATGATTGTGCAGTGGGGCAAGAGATACACTAGGCTTTTTGCAAATTTAGTCATCTGCAACCTTAGATCAAAAGCGGACTGATAGATGTATGTAATTGTAATCATATGAATGCATCATGATTGACCTTAGACCCAAAGTGGATTGATAGTGTTCACACAGCCATGTGTTATTGGTTTTGTCCACACTGACCTGAATGTGTGAATGAGTGGGACCGTTTACCTGTGAAACTTGGATTCCTTGATCACTATCACATCATTGGAAATTTGTTGTCTTAGGGTAAGCCACGTTAAATGCTTTATTTGGGTAGTATTATCCTAGTGTTTCAAAGGACTTCGTGAGTACAAAGTCACATGTAGGTAAATTTGTGCTTTAATAGTTCTGCCTATTTAATTTTCCCTGATCTGGTTCAGAGGATTGGGTGTAATTATTCCTTGAATTTATTCAATCTTGCAAGATGCATGAAACTGTGGACATTAATTAATTTATATGTTGGTGGCTATTGGTTTGTCTAGTCAGGCAGTGGTCATTGGGTTGTCCTGTGGCTCATTGGAAACCAAGCCATGGCATGGTAAAGTCCATATTCTCCCTTTTCAATCTCCCTATAACTCTGGCCTTTTGCTTCGGAAAGGGTAGAACTGGAAACCTCAGGCTCCTAGATCTGGTGCATTTGCACTGTTAGATTACATACCAAAGACCGAAGTGCTTAATTTCAACCTTGTTGACTCCTAAAGAACCAAATCCATGAGAATATTTAATAAACTACTAGTTTAAAAATCAAGTATTTATATTATTTTTAACAAACTTGAATCAAATGTTGACTTCGCCAGATTGGGCCAGGTTATTATGAAAGTTTTATTAAGTTAAGAGATATTGCTTATGAACATTGGTCGAAGGTGCTTTTATTGTCTTATAGCAGTCATTTAATACAAAACTGGTATTGGTGATGACATCGCGCATAGCATCAACCTAGGGTGGTCCAAGAGAAACATATCCATGTTATTGTGAGTTCTAAAGTACCCTTGGATTAGTCAAAATGTTATTTTTTCGGGAACCTCGAGCAAAGTTTGTCATATCGCAACGTATCACTTGGTATGGGCGGTACATATCAATCTGATAGGGGACTATTATGGGTAGTATATCAGTATGTCTTTATGTACCATGTGTCAGTATGTTTGGTACAACTCAGTACAGCTTGGTACGTACCATACTGACAATTGGTCGATATATCGGTGCCGACTGGTAGGGGGAACCATGCCTGCAAGAATATTTCTATGAATATCCATGCTTTTTGGGCTCACATTTAGACAATGTGGAAGCGATAGAAAATGACTTTTGTTCAATGAGAGATGCCAAGGATGTATTCTGTTACTTAATATGGTGAATAATGATTGCATTTGATTTTTTTCTCTCTTGCCCCTACAATTTGAAAGATTGTTTGAGGATGATCAAACCAAGGGTTAGGAGTTTTAAATAGGTGTATTTTGAGTCTAATTTGCTTTTGAATCTTAATTGCAGTGTCTCAGCTAAGTTTTCAGGACTGTCCTTGATAGAGAATCAGTTTTTTTTGTTTTGATCATTTTTGGGATTTCCAAGGGATCAATTAGTGTCTGACCGGAATGTCTGGTTGTTTATCAAAGAGAGCCATTTTCTGGGTAGTTGAATGAATTGAGCTTAATGAGGTTGCCTTTTTCTACTCCTTTTGTCATTGTATTTACTGAATAGCTCTCCTCTTTTCTTCTATCCTATACTTCAACTGCTGTAACTGTATTTTGCTGTCCTTTGTGACTCCAATGATACCTTATCTTTCAGTGTATTTTGTCTCCCCAGTGCTGATTCCTACTAAATCTGTGGTCAGTCCTAAAATAAATGATTGGCCTAAATTGCATGGTCTGTGGTCAACTAGTTCCTGTTGGGAAGTGAGTTGATCCAAGGGCATGTTTGGCTGTTTATCATGTACCGAGATCTGGAGTCTTTCTATGAACTCTCTCTCTTTTCCCTTTTCTTTCTGTTTTTTTAAGGCTACTTCACTTTTCATTTCTTTTTCCCATATATTATTCTTATAGTTGGAAGATAATTATTGGCTTTTCACTCTCCATAGATAGAAAGTTTGCTTGTTCCTAGTAGAAGTTTGCAGTGCTCACTGTCCCTCTGTCGTGTGAGAAATCCATGTTGTTTGGTCTATATTTTGCACAATGATTTAAAAAGGTGCTCGGGCGCTCGCCTAGGCGCTCGGGCGAGGCGAGGCGAGGCCCGAGCGCCTTGCTTCACTTCCAGGCGGCGCGCTTCAAAGAGGCGTCGACGCTCGCCCGAGCCAAGGCGTTGGGCGCTTCGGGCGAGCGCCTGGGTTAAACCAGGCGACAGAACCAGCGTTTTAGGTCTGGTTCGGTCTCCGATACTTTAGTTGGTTCAATTGAACCAACTAAAGCACCGATATCAGCTGTCGCTGTCCAACCCTAACCCTGCTCGTTGCCGCTGTCGTTGCTCGCTATCGCTGTCGCCGCTCCTGCTCCCGCTGCTCGTCGCTCCCGCTGTCGCTGCTCGCTGCTGCTGTCGCTGCTCGTCGTTGCCGTCGTTGCTATCGCTGTCGCCGCTCCCGCTCTCGCTCTCGCTCTCATTGTCGCTGCTCGTCGCTGCCGTTGTCGCCGCTCCCGCTCCCGCTGCCATTGCCTCCTTACACTCCCGCTGTCGTTGTCGCTTCCTCTTTTCTCAGTCAGCACCCTCTTACACTCCTCTTCCTTCTTCTCCTTCTGTGTACTGTTAACAGTATACTAATAGTAGTATTTGTATTTATTAGATTAATAATATATTATTTTGATTTTGTATCTTAGATTTTCTTAATTTAATAGTATATTTTTATTTAAAGTTTTAAATAATTATATTTATTAATTATATTATATATTTTTATATTTTAGTGCATCACTTTGCTCGGGCGAGCGCCTAGCGCCTCGGGCGTTTTTGGATCTTGGTGCCTTTTGGCGCCTAGCACTTTTTAAATCACTAATTTTGCATATAACTGAAAAATCAAAGCTTTAGGGTGGCCTGCTGTCCTTCCTATGTCTTTTTTGACAATAGTCAATTAATTTATTTAGTTTTCTCGGTTTGTCTCTTGGATTACTAAGTCCAGCTACAAATACTTTTAAATGATTTGTAATATAGGGTTAGGGAGCTGCAGCCACTCTTTTCTAGGGATTGCATGACTATAGTATTAGTAAAATCTCTGCAAATAAACTGCTGCTTTCAAAGCCTTCTGACATATCCCAGTAATTCAAAAAACAATCACTTTCCAGCATTAGTTTCTCAAATCTGTATGCTAAAGTATCTGCTATTGAATGGGCTCCTAGAATAAAACCCATTCATTGTAATATTGCTAAATTTATCAAGTCCTACCCATCTCTACCAATATCTAAATTGGTAGGATATTCTTTCCTTTTTTTTGTCTGTATTCGGTCATTTACCTGATGAAGGTAGGAGATTCTTTCCTTTTTTTCGTATGTATTTCACATTTCAACATTTATATATTTGTTGATAACTTAACTTGCTGAGCTGCAATTCTTGATTATTGATTATGATTCAAGGTAAATGTCAATGGATAGCTGATATTTAATGGATCTGGAATATATTATTATGTTCGTTGGATATGCTTGTCAAGGCCTTCGTCCCTTCTCGACATATATCCCTGCATCGTTGTGTTTCAGATTTACCTATATACATTGACCTGTGGACACACCAAGAAGGGTGGATTTGTTCCAAGAGAAGGAACTTGTGAGAGAGTGGGAGATGCTCCACTCATTTCTTGAAGGGAGCAGTCACAAGTTGTGATCCCAACTCACTTTTTTTTTTTTCTTTTGCTTGATCCCAACTCTTACTACCTGTTCTTAGTAGTCTGACATCTTCTGAAGTTTCTAAAATTAATTTTGAACTGATTTTTTATCTTCCTGTAATTGTTAAATTCTTTTTGGCAATCAAATCTTCCCTGACCACTTGAATTATTGGATTGTCCTATCTGCTTCTGGATCAAACCTGACTCACTTAAACTGGTAATTTAAGCCAGTGTCCCACTATTTTTCTATTCATTTTGAATTTTCTCTCATGTTTTTTCCTTCTTTTTCCTCTCTTTCCTTCATTGTCTCATCTCACCAGCCACCCCTAATTGGTGGTCATTAGCAGCACAAGAGTTGTCACTGTTCTGAGGAATTCTATGAGAAGTGACTTTGAAGTTTAGTGCAGAATTGATATTTTCTTTAAGAGAAGTGTTTTCAAACTGTAGCATATTATTGACATGTTTTTTTTTGTGTTAGAATTTCATTCCTCAGTCTAATAGGATAATTCCAATCTCTTTTTATAATCTTTTCATAGATGTATTGTATTTCCATGACTTTATCATTTATAATTATCCTGAATCAAGCACACACTGTATATGTACTTTCAGTGGACTTGATGCCTTAATCATTTATGCAATACCTATTTTAAAGTTCAGCCCTTATTTTAAAGAACTGACAAGTTTTTGTTAAGATATTGCTAGCCATAATCATGAATTTTCGTTAGGATATCAATGTTAAGACCTTTGTTCCTTGTCCACATATATCCCTGCATCAATGTGGTTCAGATATACCTCGATGCATTGACCTGTGGACACACCAAGAAGAATGGAGTTGGAACAAGAGGAGAATAGAACTTGTGGGAGAGTTGGAGATGCTCCAATCCCTTGTCTCTTAAGGAGAGCAATTCACAAGATGTGATCCCAACTCTCTCTTACTGCTTGTCCTTTGTAGTCTGATGCCTTTTAAGGTTTTCTTTTAGGTTAATCTTGAACTGATTTTTTTTCTCATTCTGTAATAGACTAATAGTTAAATTCGTTTTGGCAATCAAATCTTCCCGTACGACTTCAATTAATGTATTGCCCAATCAGCTTCTGGATCAAGCCTTACTCACTTAAAATTATTGTTTAAGCCATAAAAATCTCACTTTTTACCTTTTTCTATTGTTTTCCTTGTTTTTTCTTCTTTTTCCTCTCTCCCCTTCACTGGCTCATCTCCACCAACCACCCCTAATTGGTGGTCAATAGTGGCATGAGGGTTGCCACTAGTCTGAGGAAATTTATGAGAAGTGACTTTGAAGTTCAGTAAAGAACTGACATATTCTCTTTAGGAGAAGTGTCCTTAAACTATAGCATATGATTGACATGTTCTTTTGTGTTTGAGTTTCATTCAGTGTGATAGGAAGATTCTGATCTCTTTTTAAATTCTTTTAGTAGATGTTTCGTATTTTTTTGATTTTATCATTTATAGTTATCCTGAGTCAAACACTCACTTTATATGTACTTTCAGTGAGTTTGATGCCTTAAATCATTATCATGATATCTATGATGAAGTTCCACGTTTATTTTAATGAACCGAGTAATTTGTGTCAGGATTTTGCTAGCCTTTATGTACATAATCATTAATTTTCGGTCCCTTTCTCCTGAAACTATCTCATTTTTCCAGAGATGCAACTTTCTTCCTTGCTGAAGTGACAGCAGCAGCAGTGGCTATTGACTTCATTCCACTAAGTTCATCATATTCAGTTGAAGACAAGAAGGCCTACCACTTGAGCATTTTCTCAAGTGATGATGCTTTTGTAAAGTCCAGCAACACCATTGATGGAGTAGGCTTTGATGGAGACACCATATCTGCAATAAGTGCTAAAAATGTGGAATTCAGGATGGATTTTTCAGATGATCTGTTACACCTGGTGTGTCTTGCACTTGCTTTTGATACTTTATTCACTGTTGGTTGCTTGAAGCTTAAACTACATTTATGTTAAGTAGGATATGCTTTGCAGATTTTCTCTTTCCTTGAACAAAAAGATTTATGTAGAGCAGGAGCAACATGCAAGCAGTGGTTAGCAGCTAGCACACATGAGAATTTCTGGAGGTGTTTAGAGTTTGAAAATATAAGGATCTCCCAGCAGAACTGTATGATTTCTTCTCTATTCTTATTATTGTCTCATGAATTGTGAAACTGTAAGTGAAAAACAGTATTGGCAAATATGAGCTAGTTTATGTTCCTGAATTGTAAAATTTCATCCACCTACTTCTAGCAGGTGCAGAGTGTCCATCTATGTGGACCAATCTTTTTCTTGATGCACTTCGCAAAGTTGTATCCCACAATTTGTTGAAGTTAGTGCTTTTCACAATGAGACCTACTGCTATAGAATATTAGCTTACGGTGAACCTTGAAATAAGAGCAACCAGTGGTCTGGGAAATGCAAAATAATGGAAAAGGAGAAATGGGCTAACATAACTAAATTTTAAGCGGAGTGGAGATTTTTAAGCAGAATAGACACTTTTTATGAAGCATTGGTGGTCGATCTCATGGTATATTAGGCCTTGTTCCCTAAAACTTAAAAGAATGCAAATTTTATACCGCCAGTTAACAACAGGTAGAGTAGGATAGAAGAACAAAATTAAGAAAAAGGTCAAAATTTTCCACTGAGTGATTTATTTGAAGCTGACAAACTACTACTGTTCAAGTCAACAGTTTCATGTTATGTACTCTGAGCAGAAAAATGCTGGGATCCAAAGTGTTTTTTCTTTTCATTCATATTTCATTGAGCACTATAATTCAATAGAAAGAGACTTGAGTGCCAGTTGAGCACTTAATAGTATCCTGATCTTATACTAATGGGGACCATTAAGCAAGTAGCTTGTGCACTGAGATCAGCATCTTTTATTTAGTTGTTCATGTTTATATGACATTTTAATGTTATTATCCAGAAAGAAATACACCCATGAGACACTTAATTTCCATCCTGTTCTGACTATCCATCCATCTTTTGTTTCCAAACTTGCGCATTCATTCTCTGAGTTTGTTGTTCTTCTGATATTGAACTTCTAAGCAACTGGAAATCTTCTATATTTGCTTCGTGTATTGAGTGCATCTTTTATATTTGCATCTTGTGTATTGAGTGCAGTCAAAGTGACTATTGCCTTTCAAAATTCTCTGATGTTTGTTTATGAAAGACGTTGTTCCTAATATTAGTATTAGATTTTCAGAGTTATAAGCAGCTAACTTTTTAGGAAAAAAATTTACTTGATCTAAAACTTCCTCATTTGATATTTGAGCATTTCCTTTTTGTGGAATCCCTTGATTTAGTGAGATTTATAGAGTTGTGTTTCATCACTTTGGTTATTACGTGTTAGCAAAATTAGATGATTTCTTAGATAATCTATCAACACTCCCATGCTATCTAATATTATGAAGTTTTTAAAGAATTCATGTTCTATGATGCTGACTTCAATCACTATGTTGTGTTTTTAGAGGCTATGTACTTCATAGATTGTCATCATGGATCTTCACCAGATCAATGACTATGTTTTATAGATATGGTCCTTTAGTCTGTCCAAGTTTATGACTGAACAACGTCTAGAACTTCAAAAAATGAGCAAGTTGCGGAACATATTCTCCTATATGCAGAACTACAAGAAAGAAATGTAGTAATCCTATTTGATATTTGAAATTAACTAAATTATTGGTATTTTATTCTAGAGTAAGTTCAGAATACTTGAGTAACTGTTAGGACCCTTTTTCTGAGCTTTTGAATAATGTTTATTGAGTCTGTTTAGTCCATTTGTTTATTGAGTTGGTTTGGTTCAGTTAGAGTCAAGTAGAGGTTTATCTAATATTTATTTATTATTAGAGTTCAAGTCATGATGGACTCTGGGTGGAACTCTATAAATAGGGATGTAACTGTTTTTTTTTAGTAATCTATGAAAAATATTATTCTGCCTTTGGATAAACCCTAGGAGGCCGATCCCCTCGAAGTGATCAAGGAGGGCCGATCCCCTCGAAGCGATCAAGGAGGCCGATCCCCTCGAAGTGATCATTATCATCCCCATTTCTCTCCTTTCTTTCACGATAAGATTTTAGGGTCTTATCATTTGGTATCAGGGCGACGATAAGACCTTTAGGGTCTTATCATTTGGTATCAGAGCCTACGATAAGATTTTAGGGTCTTATCAATTGGTATCAGAGCAACGATCCTTGGCGCAGCCCGCCGCAGCCTTGCTTCCCTTCTTCCCCACCACCACTACAAGGCAACTCTTTTTTCACCGTTGTCGCTGTTTCCCCGGCCAGCGACCTTCGACCACCGCTCGACCTCCTCGCTGCTTCATTTCGTTAAAAAAAAAAAAACCACGAGAGGAAGAAGAAGCCGTAGCCACCCCTGCGTCCCCTGCTTCCGGCCAGCTCACCCGCCGCCGCTGCTCTCCGGCCAGCGCCCACCATCGCCCCGCTTCCCGGTCGGCGACCACCGCCGCCGTTGTTCCCCGGCCAGGAGACGACGCTGCCAGCGTCCATCCTAGCCCTACTGCCGTCGCCCGGCTCCCCTTGCGTCGCGGCGCAGCCGCTCGACCTCTCCTCCTCGACGATCGTTGGTGACGCTGCTCCCAGCCGCGCCACCACCGCTGCCTCTCCACCGCCGCCCGCCTCCCCTTGGGTCGCAGCCGCAGCCACCGGTTGCCGCAGCCCCTCGTTGCAACGGTTGCAGAAACATAGTTCCTCCGTTGCCGCAGCACCTCGTCGATCGCAGCTGCGCCTCCACCAGCCGCGCCACCTCCAGCACTCCTCTTCCCCTCCAGCGCTGTCGCCGCCCAGCCGACCCATCACCGCTGCGGGCCACCGTGCGACGACCGCCGCACGCTTCCCAACAGTCGATCCTCCTTGCTCTGCATCCGTAGTGCCAGAAACAGGGCAACTCACCGGTTGCCCTTGTTCCCAACCGTGATACCGGCGACTCCTCCTCCACCGCTGTCGCTGCTTCTCGGCAGCACGATCACCGTCGCACCGCCGTTGCCAGCATCGCCAGCGGCTCCGGCTGTCGTGCGATAGAAACAGAGCACCCTGTTTCCCATCTCAAGCATCGCAACTTCCCGGCCAACGACGACGCTCGTTGCCTTTTTCTCCACTGCCAACGCTGCGCTCCGGCCAGCGACCACCGCTGCTGCTAGCCATCACAGCCTTCTCCTCAACCGCTCGTGATCCTTCCGGCCAACTCCTTCGGTGGTGCGATAAAAACAGAGTACGCAGCAACCAACACGCAGCAACAAAAACAGTGGCACCCTCTGCTGCCGTAGCCGTCGATTGTAACCACCGTCGTTGCTCCCGGCCAACGACCAACCCCTCGTTCTGCAGCAGCCGCCCTCCAACAGGGAACGCAGCAACCGCAGCAAGTACGCTGCCTTGCCTCAACCCCAGCAGCGCACGCAACACCGATTCCTCTTCTCAACCTCGGCCGCATCAACGCCGCCTCCCCCTTAGCATATTCTGCCACAACCACAGGTTGCCATCACCACAGGTTGCCATCACCGCAGCCTCAACCCCGTTGCTCGGCGATCGCCCCTTGGGTCGCAGCAGCTACAGCCACATCAACACAGTCGCCTTCCAACCCCGGCGCTCTCACCTCACGCAGCGATAGAAACAGGGCAGCTACTCTTCCTCCAACGCAGCGACCGCAGCACTGCCCTTGGCGTCCACCTCCTCGGCAACTTCGCATCGACAGTGTTGATGCCCTTGACCGACACCAAAAACAGGAGTTGAGATTACAAATTTGCAGTCTTACGCAATGGCCACTGATAACTCGGTGAAAGCACAAATGGAAGCATTGGAAATCAGAATTGAGAATCGACTGCAAGAAACACTTAATGATTTCAAAAAGAGCCTACTGGAGAGCCTCAGCAAATTTCAACAAATTGGGGGCTCAAGTTCTACGTTGCACAGATATGAAAATACAAGAAAAGGGCCCCAAGATTGTGACACAAATTACTCACACATGAAGATGGAATTTCCGAGATGGAAAGATGAAGATCCGACCAATTGGATCTCTAAGGCAGAATTTTTTTTCCATTTTCACAGAACCCCAGAAGAATCCAAGGTAGAAGTGGCCTCAATCCAGCTCGAGGGAGATGCACTCCAGTGGTACGATTGGTATGAAACTTTCCACGGAGTTCCTTCGTGGGAGCAGTTCAAAAGAGGGCTTCTTGTTCGCTTTGGCCCATCCGAATATGAGAATGTTGATTGCCAACTCACCAAAATTCATCAGACTTCTACAGTGTTAGAATATCAGAGTAGGTTTGAAAGATTGTCAAATCAAGCTAGAGATTGGTCGGACCGACAACTTCTGGATACATTTATTGAAGGGCTTATTCCAGAAATCCGGTATAAAGTTAAGGCTCGTCAACCCCGTACTATGATAGCTGCGATCTCATTTGCAAATCTACATGAGAAAAAAATTAGCAAGGAAAGATCAACAAGGGGTTTGTATTATGATGAAAAATGGAGTATGGAGCACCAATGTAAACAAGGGCAATATATGATGATTGAGCCAATTGGAGAGGAATCGAAAGCTAAAGAGTTGGACTCCGATTATGAAGGTGTGGAAACTGATGAAGATATTGAAGCCATCACACATATAGTGCATGCATTGGCTAGTTATGCTAACCCACAAACTATGAAAATCAGAGGAACTTTGAAGCATCAACCTGTCACTATTTTGATTGATACAGATAGCACTAATAATTTTATGGACAGGAAAGTTGCAGCCCAATTAGCCCACCACATTGAAGGCTGTGATATATTCGAAGATGATGGACGGATTTTAACTTATGATAGCAAAGGCCAGGAATTTCTTGCAACGATTACTACACTTAAAGATCGACCTATTGCTTACACTGTCAAAAAGTGGAGACCATACTTAATTGATCAACGGGTTGTGATGCGTTGCAGATAGCACTGAAGTGCTAAAAGACAAGCTTCCCGAGATTGATGCTGCCCAGCCTTGAGGACAAGGCTGATTTGAAGAGGGAGGAACTGTTAGGACCCTTTTTCTGAGCTTTTGAATAATGTTTATTGAGTCTATTTAGTCCATTTGTTTATTGAGTTGGTTTGGTTCAGTTAGAGTCAAGTAGAGGTTTATCTAATATTTATTTATTATTAGAGTTCAAGTCATGATGGACTCTGGGTGGAACTCTATAAATAGGGATGTAACTGCTTCTTTTTAGTAATCTATGAAAAATATTATTCTGTCTTTGGACAAACCCTAGGAGGTCGATCCCCTCGAAGTGATCAAGGAGGGCCGATCCCCTCGAAGCGATCAAGGAGGGCCGATCCCCTCGAAGCGATCAAGGAGGCCGATCCCCTCAAAGTGATCATTATCATCCCCATTTCTCCCCTTTCTTTCATGATAAGATTTTAGGGTCTTATCATTTGGTATCAGGGCGACGATAAGACCTTTAGGGTCTTATCATTTGGTATCAGAGCCTACGATAAGATTTTAGGGTCTTATCATTTGGTATCAGAGCCTACGATAAGATTTTAGGGTCTTATCAGTAACTTCCTTAATCCAAAGGGTATATACCAATTTTCACAAATTAAACTAAATTTCTAGAAATTATAATGAAAATTTTGGTGTTTTTATGACTTAATTTGTCCTTTTTTTTTCTGTTGACAATTTAGGATATACTCTATGGAAATGAGGCCGTGCTGGCATTTGTTCCAAAGCACTTTTTGCAGATTTAAATAGCTTCTTGCTGTCTCATATTGCATAATACCCTCTCCATTGAAAGAAAGAAAAAAGATCAACTGAGTGTGATATGCCCCATAATGGACCAGCATGCGCATTATAGAAGTATTTATCTTTATTCTATGGTGGTAAACACTCATGTATGGCTTATACTGGTGCCTCAATTCATGCTTCCCAGCAGCAATGTGCAATGATCTTCAAAATGACTCATCAATCATTTGATGATTTTCTGAATATTTAGTATGCATATTATATTATTTACCAGTGAGGATGCATATGATACAAAGCTTATTATCGGTATCATTGAGTAATTTGCTCATTGCTGACATGTTGACTCAATGTGTAAATATACTTATGCAAATGGAAGCCAACATAATATCGTCCAATTATCTTGTTATGTTCCTGAGAAATTTTTAGTCAAGAGCATCAACTATTCATCCTACAGCAACAATAACAAGTCATAATGTTTGAACTATTTGGGGTTGGCCATATGGATTTTTTGGTGTTGGGCCAGTTAAACAAAGAGTATCTAAATTTTTAACTGGTAGAGTCTTCTTAGTTTTCCATCTTTCTCGTACCACTAATACTAATTATCTCACTTTTCTAAGTATAATATTTATAGATCTCATAGGGACATGTTTGTACAGTCTTAGACAAATTTCCTCATTTTATCCTCTGTCAAAATTGTTCACAATTGAATACTTTTTCCAATCTAACCTGGAAGTTCACAATCCACTCCACTTTTCTTGTCTGAGTACAACCTTTATATATACACACGCACATACATGTTGTTTCTTAGTCATCCAACCATAAAGGATTGTTGGCCTGACACTTGTCATAAGGAGTTGGTAGAGAAAGGGAGGAGGAGGTACGGAGGAGGATTATAGGATCAGAAGGTGATAGAGGATCATGAGGAGGCGGCGACAACAATAGTGGAGGATGAGGAGGAGAAAGTACCACAGGTATGTGGCGGGTGATGAGCTGGGGAGGGGTTGTGTGAGATGTGCATGAGTAATGTGTACGATGAATTTTAGGGTTATTACTTATTACTGTTAGGGTGAAAACTAAAAAAAGAAAAGGCCATATTGCTTGATTATCAGGCTTGGATTGGGCGAGAAGTCTAGGTCATAGGGCTTGTCAGGTGGTAAGCCCCAGACAACCTATGGTTTGCTTGTCAGGTGGTGAGCCCTGTACCACCTATGGTTTACGAGTTGATTCATGCTCAAATTGATACTCTCTGGTTTGTATCAGTCTGGGTGAAATTGCATTTCTTGCTTAAAACTTTTACTTATTAGAAAGTTTTCTCCATCCAAGTTAAGTATGCTACAGTTTGATTCTTTTATATTATTAAATTTGCATCTCATATATATTTTCTTTATCCTACTTAATTTAAAACCCTTAGTTTCCATGGTTTCTCTCCATTACTCAAGTTTAGAAAATTTCATTTAAATGAGCTATGCTTAATGAGATTTGACATAGTTTTATGTTAATTGTCAATGTCTTAATACAATCATTCATCTTTTTCATCTGGGTTTGGGATTAGCATTAGTGGTGTTATAACTATTTATTCTTTTAACTAATGGTCAGGAGTATCATTGTTGACTTTTGTACCATTCATCGCTAATGACCATAAAAATATTCTCTTGGTAAATTTCTTTTATTTTCTTTTTGTCATTCTAAAACATATCTCAGAACTTTAATTTTCATTACCTCTTGGGTTTCCCCTGCTTGTGTCATGTGCTTATGAATTTATTTTCTTGCAGTTGTTGCTATTTGCCATCGTTACCCCAATGCTACTGAAGTAAAACTGCGTGGTACTCAAAATGTTGAGGGCCTTGTCATTGTTGCAATGACTTCTTTAAGGTTTGTCTTCCATATATCCCTGGATTTTGCCTCGTGCCATCTTTTTGTTTTGTCAAATATTTGGTCATTGTTGCCCGTATTGATTTGTCAAATCTTTCAGGCATCTTGAAACTTTAATCTTGGACAAGGGGCGGCATAGTGAATCTTTTTTTCTTAGTGAAGCTTTTTTTCTTACCTTGACTGATTGTCCTGCGTTAACTACTTTGAGAATTTCTGATGCATTTATCAGTAATTGCACTCAAGAGGTAACTGTATGCCATGAAAAGTTACATGACCTTCAGTTGGTAAAATATCGAGCTCTCCGTATTACTGTCAGGTAAATATATTGCTTATTCGCTGCGATATGTTCTTTTGTCATAAGCAATATTGCAATTTTTTAACCAACTGTTTTTGCGTAACATGGGTACTTCATAGATGTCCTCAACTTCAGACTTTGTCCCTGAAGCGCAGCAGCATGGCTCATGTTTTGCTTAATTGTCCCCAGTTATGTGTGTTGGATTTATCTTCCTGCCACAAATTACCTGATACTGCAATTCGGTCATCTGCTATGTCATGCCCTTTATTGACATCACTAAACATGTCATCTTGCTTATGTGTTACTGATGAAACCATACGTGAAATATCTTTCACATGTCCAAATCTGTGCACTCTTGATGCTTCGAACTGTCCAAATATCTCATTTGAGGTTAGTCTTTGGGTCCTGATTTTTTTCAGCATTCATTTGTTTGGCATTTGATGAATACATGCTTATACGTGTACACGTGCTGGAAGTTGGTGACACTCCCCATGTTGATGAATTTGAGGCTTGAAAGTTGTGAGGCAATAACTTCTGCCTCTATATCTGCCATATCTCAGAGCCAGATGCTAAAGGTTGGAGGTTTTGATTCCTTGTCTTGTATTTAGTGAGTTTATATTAGATTCTTTCTCTCACCATCAGATCTTGCAGTCATTGGAGCTTTATAACTGTGGCATGCTTACTTCTGTCTCACTGGACCTGCCACACCTGCAGAATATAAGTCTTGTATATTTGCGCAGGTAAAACTCAGTTTATCTTCTTTATTCTCGCCTTTTATATTATGTAGTTTCTCCTCTATCATCGGGTGCTAATAAACTTGTATGATAGATTTGTTGATCTTAATTTGCGGAGTCCTGTGCTCAAGCAGATCAAGGTTTCTAGATGTTCAGCACTTCACCGCATTAGCATTACTTCAAATGCACTTCAGGTCTGCTTTCCTTTTATATGACTAGAAATTTTGTGTTTATTTTATTTTTTAGTATTATTTGAAATTGAGTGGTTTTGAACTCTACAATTCTGATTCCTGTTCATGCAGAAACTGGTATTGCAAAAGCAGGAAAGTTTGACTACTTTGTTATTGCAATGTCAAAACTTGCAAGAAATGGACCTTAGTGATTGCGAGTCTTTGATGGATTCTATTTGTGAAGTGTTTAGTGATGGGGGAGGTTGCCCAAAGCTACGGTCATTGGTTCTTGACAATTGTGAGGTTTGCAATTTATTTAGCCATTGTTTTTCCCTAATATTTATGAATTTTCTGGACTACATAATTTTTAGTCTCTTCTCATTAGGGCAGCATACCACAACCATCTATGGTTTCTCAACATCGCTTTTGCATCATAAATGGTTGTCCTCAGATAATATAGCTTTGGTTGCAATAGTTAATTGTTGCCCTATGTAGTGTTTTTAAACATAAAATTCTTAAACAGACAGGTTATAGTATGGAAATTTTTGTAATGTCAGGATAATTGGAAGAATGATGACATTAAATAATGAGGTAATTTTATGACATTGCTCCATGTAGGTCTTTTTGTGCATTGTTGTATAAGCTTTTTTTTAACTCAAACTACACTACCTTTTTTTTGTGTTAAACTATGTTGATTTTCACAAACATTTCATTATTTCAATTTGTGGTATTGATTACTCTTGTATATTATTCTTTAATCATTTCTAACAGCCATTTATATTGAGAATAGTCTTCAAAAATCATGGAGTGCATTGACTAACCATACCTTTTTTGCCAATTATTCCTATCACTTAATATGCAGCACTGGAATGACAGACATATATATTCAGTCTAGCAGTCATCTGGAGTATATCTACTTATCACTTTTTTTGTTTCATTATAACCTTGACTAGGCTTGTTGCTCTTCTTTGATTATTATTGAATATATCTAGGATTTGTCCTAAATATACTTTTTTCTGATATTCTGTTTGTTCAGCGCCTAAGTATGGTCAAAATTAGCAGTTGCACTCTGGTGTATCTATCACTGGCTTGGTGCCATGCTATGAATGCGATTGAACTATCATGTCCAAACCTTGAAGAACTAAATCTCGATGGCTGTGATCATCTTGAAAGTGCATCATTTTGTTCGGTCAGTTGATCATTCTTGACTCAGTTTATAAATATGTTATTATGACATGCTTTAAATTGTGAAGGCATCCGTCTGCTAGAAGTTTGATGGTTGTTGTAAGCACTGTTGTTTTCTTAGCTTAAGTTATTGTGCTATGTGATTAACTTTTTTTTGGCCTGTAGGGATTTGAAGTTGGAAAATCAAATTGGCATAAATTTATATTCTAAGATTTTACCATTAAAGACTGTGTGCAATACATTCTTAGTTGTGTATCTCAAATGTTGTTCCCCCGAGAAATATGAAACAACCCTTAATACTTTGCACCCACAAATTTGAAGCATTGCTCATGAAAATTGTCTGCTTTATCAACAACCTTTATTCATTAGGAAGCAGATCCATAGGCGAGAGCAGGAAAAATTAAGTTTACAAATGTTAGGATTATTCTTGAAATTATAAATGAAATCATCTTAAATATTAAAATTGTGGAAAGTTGAGAAGAAGTGCAACGCTGTTAAAGTTTTTCATGTACGGGTATGTTGGTGGAATAAGTTTGATGCACGTTTTCTTGAGTATCATTTTAGTAAAGAATTTTTTGGAAACTGATGCTATTATTTTGTCTTTTTCACCATATTCACTTTTACTTGTTTTATTCAGCAGTTATCGTGTTTTTCGTTGCCTACATTTCTGTTTTTGTTTTTCTACATAGTTCATTTTGGATGATTATCAAAATTTTCTGATATGCAATTTTGTATTACATCAAATTTTACTGTTTTAGCATTAAGTGGATTGTTCAATATCTAAGTAATACTGATCATGCAATCATTATCTGCCTTGGTTGCAATTCTGACTGGTCGCTTTTTTAGGTTGGTCTTGAGTTGCTTAATTTAGGTATCTGCCCAAGACTAAGTGATCTACGGATTGAAGCTCAAAACATGTTAGTCTTGGATCTTAAGGGTTGTGGTGTGCTATCGCAAGCATATATTCACTGTCCTCGCTTGAAAGTCTTGGATGCTTCGTTCTGCAGGTTCCTTCTTTGCCTCTTCTGTTTTTGAGTCTTCATCATCTTTAAACATTACTTATTGTGTCATCCTTCATGCAGAAAATTTAGTGATGAATCATTGTCTACAATAGCTGCATCATGCCCTCATATTGAATCTTTGATCCTGTCATCGTGCCAATCTGTTGGACCTAATGGGCTATCTTCCTTGCGTTTTCTTCGACGTCTGACTCTGCTCGATTTGTCATACACATTTTTTATGAGCTTGCGGCCTGTTTTTGACAATTGTTTGCAGTTAGTGGTAAGTTCATTATTCAAGTTCCCATTCAATTTGTATGTTGTGTAGATTGGGTAATTCTGATTTATAATCCCATGAGGTCTTTTATTTTTCCCTTTCTGTTGCATTAGATGGGTTGTTCGCTGTCATTCATGCTGATTTCCAGTGCATAGTTTAGATCAAAGGTCCCTTTGTTCTTCTTTAATCTGGTTTCAGTAACTTGAGCAAATAAGTAGTGTTAATAAATTATTCTTTGATAATGATTGCTCTCAACTTCAATTAGGTGTATACTAATTATTTACTAAAGGAAACTGGACCTGATTAGATTCATGGAATTTTAGTTGTACATTTTATAGTAAAACAGGGTTATTAAACTGTTATATGTTAAATTGTGCTAGACTCATTATTTCAAATTTAACTTTCTCTCTTGTCATTATGGCATTGATCTGAGCTACTATCTCTTAACCTATAAAAAGATTTTGTCCTTGCACTTTTAAGGGTGACATTATTTGTACATCAAATGCAATCTTTATGCTTATGAACAGAGTTCTATGCATGCAGGAACAAGTAGGTGTTGATGATTGATTTGGGTATCTTTTCATGCAGGTCTTAAAACTTTCTGCCTGCAAGTATCTCACAGATTTTTCTCTTGATGCCCTCTATAAAGAAGATGTGCTTCCAGCCCTTCGCGAGCTGGACTTGTCATATTCATCTATTGGACAACTTGATATACTAAATCTAATCACTTACTGTACAAATTTGGTTCATCTGAATTTGAATGGTTGTGCAAACATTAACGAACTTATCTGGAGCGCTAGTTATTGCCATTTATCTAATATGGCCATCAATAACTGTTCGTCTGCAATATCAAAAGAAAATGACGAGAGCTTTAGGAAGACTGGCCATCTGCTTCAGATTCTGAACTGCACCGGTTGTCCAAATATTAAGAAAGTTCTCATTTCTTCTTCAGCTAATTGTTTGCATTTATACAAAATTAACCTCAATTTGTCCAAAAATTTGAAGGAAGTATATCTGACATGTACCAATCTCTGCATGCTAAATTTGAGGTAGGTGATATTTTGAAGATTTTCCTTTGTTGACGATCTGTTTGCCTTTTTTTTAATGTATTTCTAACCTTCTGTGTCTCTGTTTTCCAGCTACTGTAGTTCCTTGGTGATCTTGAGGCTCAATTGTCCAAGACTTAACAACCTCCAGCTTCTGGTAATGGTCGCTACCCATGGTTACATGATTGTGTTGCCACAGTTATTAAAAAATTCTGCTGTCTTTTTTTTCTTAATACTTTCTTCAACTTCCTCTCATTTCTGATGTTTTATGTTCAATCATGACTTTCATATTTAAGCAAAGACAGGCACTCCTCACACTATTATATTCTTAACTCTTAATTCTCTCTTTTTTTTTATAATAGTTGGGTTTCATCGCACACATACATATATGGGACAATCGTTGTCTTTGTGGGTCTGTTTGATGTTTATTTAATGCCTTATGTATGCAAATGTTCAACTATCAAGAATTTGCATTGTTGTAGTGCACCAAAAGGTCTTCTTGTATACACTGTCATGTGGTTATATATGCAATTATTTAATGGGTGTTATATAGTACGTCAATTGCAAGTAATGTGTTGCACTGTTCATGTGGCATGCCTGTCCTGCAAAAGCATTCTGTAGGTGCCAACTGCCATAATGAAAACAAGTTATAATGGGTATCTCCTTCTGCAGTTTGTTTCTCGTTTCATGTTTTTCTTTCATGACATTAATTTTTTCTGTATCTTAATTTTTTAGGCTTGTAGAATGCTGACTGAAGAAGCATTAGAAGATGCTATTTCCCAGTGTCAAGAGTTGGAAATTATCAACATCTTCTCTTGCTCCAAGGTGAAATAATTTATACCTATGAGCTTAGTGAAGGATTTTCTTGTTAGTGTCCTGCTACTTGGTTATGTATCAAAATGAGATATTAGATAAGCCTTCAATGTTGTGGAGTTTCCATATTTTTTAATTGTTTAATATAAATCAGCACAGAGGAGACAAACTGTGAAATGGCTATAAAAGCTTTGATAGTGGTATGTCCAGCAAATGCCAAAATTTAGGGACCTATGTGAAATGGCTATAAAAGCTTTGACAGTGGACCTATGTGACATCAGCTATGGGTTGAAGAGATAGGGGGAGACAGCTGTCTCAATTCGTTACTTGATTGGGCTTAAATGACTGATGTTGTCTAATTAAGGTTTTTAAATTTAGGGATTTGTAGTCTGTATCATATATTTGCATTATTGGGATCCTATAAACGGATTGTTTAACTAGTATACTCCCTTGGGATAGAAAGTTGTTCATATATAACCTATGTTTGTTGTTGTTTTCATTTGGCAGATACGTGCCAAAGATTTTGATAGATGGCGAATGGTTTGCCCGAGCCTGAGACGGATCCAAAGCAGTCTATAAAGTGCCATTCCATTTCGAGTTTTCAGGTAATCCATCTGTTGCAGCCGGTACGAGAGAAGCACACTTGTTTTATCCTTCAAGGCATTTTGCGTCTTTTTTTTTATTGTACATAAACTGTGTTGCCTTTTGTTTTTTGTCGGGTTCTTTTTATTTGTACATAAACCGAATTGACTATTACGTTTTGCTGTTTTATCATTTCATCAGATAATGAATCATCATAGCGTACGATTATATGGTCACATTGAAAAGAAAAAGAAAAAAAAAACTGTTCGGTGAGCTTGATATAGGTGTAGTTTTCTAAGGACAATGTATTTAATTACTTTTATATAATTGTCATTAAAGTTCCATGAAGCTGTCTGTGTTCTAACTGTTTGTAATTGTAAAATTTTGTGCCCAACAAACTTGAAGTTAATGTACGTATGTGAAAATAGAAGATTGGAAGTTAGTATGATTCTATAAAAATAATTTTAAATTTATATAAAAATAAAAAGTAGTAAGGAAGGATTTGTTGGTGTCCTCCCTTCTACCATCAGTGGAGAAACGGCCGAAACAGAGAACAAATAATCCACAGAACCAAGTATCATGTGTTGATAACGCAGCGGGATTAGGCGGAGAGGGCATGAGCAACGGAAGACTTCGTGTGTGTTTTTTTTTTTTAATCTTTTTAAATTTATTCTTTCAATTTTCAGGCAAACAAAAGAGAAAGCTGCAGCAGGGCTGGTTTCGTGGACTAGTAAAGTGTGATCCTAATATATGATTTTTTAATAAATTTTTTAAACTTGTATTATTGATGAAAAATAACACTGCCAATTGGATCAAAACATATTGGAGTTTATTTTCCTGCAGCGACCCACGGTCCACGAACTCCAGCGAATCCACGAACTCCCGGGAGAAAAAGAATACTTTCCTCCGTCGCAGGAAGAGATTTATTCTGCCGCCGCTGCCCGAGCTCTCCTCGTCGCATCCTCGCCCCTCTTCCTCTCGCCATCATCTGTCTCTCTCTCTCTCTCTCTCTCTCTCTCTACCCCTGTCCGCTTGATCTCTCTCCTTCTCGACTATTCTATTGGGGTATCCAAGGATTCTGACATCATCGCTTGTCAATCTGTGCAGATGCCGCTGCCTCTGCCTCGAAGCCTTTTATCATCCCTCGCTTTTCCCCCTCCGGCGCTTCCCCGCTCGTTTCTTCCTTCACGCGCGCCTTCCCCAGTGGTAATCAATCCTTCCTTCGGCATTTGCTGAGTGCTCCATTTCATTTCAAGTATGATTCTTGTCAGAATTTGACACGGTTGACGCTATGTCAAGGATTAGTTAGACATGAATCTATGCTACTAGGTATTCGGCACAGGAATCTAGATTTTTAATCTCGTATCACATCTTATTCAACGGATAATCTTGTGATCCTGTCCTGCGTCATGGGAATCTTTGTGCTTTCTCACTGTAAGTGGATTTGGGTTATCCAGCTGCAACCATATATGAGACACTGTGTTTGATTTGTGGTGGAGTCTCCATTCCAGTCAATTTCATCAAAAGGCTATATACTTCTAGCTGAATTAGATGATACAAGGTACAAGTAACCAGTGAGTAAACTACAACACTTAAATCTCTCTGTTTCCAGTATGCCATTTTTCTTTTATTCGGGTAAAACCTATGCTTTATCAACAGACATCATTCCCTTTTTGACTGTAGATTCTGGGTGATATTGGACTTCGCTTGAAAATTGGCATATCATGGGTGAAAACATGGTTTAAGATGTTATCTACATGATGATATAATGTGTTTCTATAATGCTCCATCTTGAGAAACTATAAGGTGAACTCTTTTATCAAAATAAGAAATTCTTTTGCTCTAGTAACAGTAAGAGAAAATAAGCTCAGTACCCTTATGGCCTTTTATGACTGAGTCGGATGGTTTAAGGACATTGGTAGTATTGTAATCCTTATATGCTTAGCTCTGTATTCAGACATACTATCGTCGTTTTCCTATTTGTTCCTATTTAAAATAACAAGACTTTACTCACTGTCTTAGTAGTATGACATGATGATCCAGCTATCTTTTGCGGAACAAGAGACCATCTACTTTTCTAATTTGCTCCTCTCAACATCAAGACACTGAAGAATTCACTTATTCTTATACTGATGCTTGAATGTATTTATATGCAGTCATCTGGATTACATCCAGGAGAAGGAAGGTTAATCTTCAAAGAACATCTGTTTCTATTAGGTGTGAGCAGGGAACAAAGGAGAACAATGGATTGGATGTATGGCTGGGTCGCTTTGCTATGGTTGGATTTGCAACAGCGATAACTGTTGAAATATCAACAGGGAAAGGGCTTCTAGAGGTATGAACTTGAAATTGTTCATCGGCTAGTAATTGTGATATGAACTTGAAATTATCCATAGAGATCTTCAATATAGATTGTTGCATGTTATAAATACTTGTGGGTAATAGTTAAATTTCTTTAGATGATATTTTCTTGCCTCTTATCCTGACACTTTTCTTGTTCCTGCTCTTGTAATAACTTGATTAAGAGAAAATTATTGTGAAATTTTCAAAGCTGATCGAATGCTTATACTAGGAAATCTTGTATCGAAATTCTGAACTAATACATTGTGTGTCTAATTGCTCACTTTTGTCGATTAACATTCTCTCATTTCTTTTGATACTTGCGCTAAAGAAAGAAAATGGCCTTCATAGATTACATTGGACATTGAATTCATCGTGAAATGCTAACGGCAATCTTTGTTTTACAGAACTTTAGGTTTATAGTACCACAACCAACTTTGGCATTCGTGGTGACAACACTTGTGGATGCTCTTTCAGTGTTCTTCTTCTTTCAGTCTGCCTCTCGAGATTAATTGTTTTACTTTGTGTCATTATTTCTTTTATCCCCTTCAATGAGACAAGAATTGTTTGACTGTGTCTGATATTTTATATTTTACAGTTCCTTATACTAGATAAAGCGTACACTCTTCTCTATTATCATTCTAGATATTGTTGGGATTGACAAGTATTATGAAATTTCTTAATCCTATATATTAGAAGAATAAAAAATCCTAATATGCGAAAGTGTGTTTGTGAAAGAAGGAACACTTGAAAGTTAGGGTCTGATTCTTCTATAAATATCTTATATAATTTTAATTTTTAACTGGGAAAGAGACAAGAATTGTTTGGTTTTGTGCTAGATATTTTATATTTTACACTTTCTTATACTATATAAAGCATACAATTTTCTCCATTTTCATTCAAGATATGTTTGATATATTGGATTATATAGTTAGTTTCCTCTTTGTGAAGCTTAATAATGCTTTGCATTCTCATTCAAGATATATTTAGAGTCTCATATCCATGTTTGCTCCATTATCATCATCATCCTTATCTTTCTCGCGTTGAATTCATTTTTCTTTTGTATTTTGAAGGCCTCGTTGGCATGGACTTTCTAATCCTACGTGGCTCCACCATTCCACATCTTGGCACGTGTACTTAGAGCTCGTTAACATATAAGTATGCTCGGGACCCACAATTACATTTTATATTTATTTTATTAACTCGTTGGCTATAAATATCTCTCGGCAATCGGTCGCCTTCGGCTAGGCCTGCGATTTCTCGTTCCACCAAGCACTAACTTTCCAGCGAATTGGTCGTCTCCGCTCGCAGCTAATTTTCCAGGATCTAAATCTCCGCAGATGAACAAAGATCAGGAGTCGGCGTGGCTTGAGGCGCAGGGGATCGACATCAGCGAGGACCTCGTAGCGGCTGCCCGGCGGCAGCTGGCTTTCCTCGCGGCCGTCGATCGGCTGAGGCGTCTCTACGATGGCCCCTTGTTGGATCGCGCGATCTGCAGGTACGGGCATCCTTGGTGGAACCTTGCGTGTGATAGGGTTTACACGGTGACCTCCGACGTCGAAGATTGCAGGTTGCCTTTTTTGAAAGGTTGCCTCGATTTGATGAGGGATTAGGAATTAAAACTATGAGATCAGAACGAAAACTTAAACGTGCAAGTTATAACCTATGTCGATGTTGTTGCCTGGGTGTTGCGACCAACCAAAAAAATCCTTTTGTCAACCATTTATTGTTTACTCATTCAATCAGGCGGATGGGGAACGGGAAAGGGAAAGGGTAAAAGTCAACGAATACTTTAAGAATTAGGAAGATGCGAGATTGACGGCAACCATGAGGTATGTCTAATGCTGTTGTTCATTATTGGTTAACCAAATGATTCGATGAGTGTTGAGCCTACTTTTGTTGTCCATATGCGTGACATCAATTTTTCTTGAAAGCAAATTGGAGGGCCCTTTCATTTCATAAGGGGTGAAATAGTCAAAATGTAAGTACGAAGGATAATATATTATACTGCGAAGATGGATGGCTTTAATTCTGTCGTTCTACAGGATGAGTGGTACAACCAAAGAGAAAACATATATTTATATATAAGATCTCACCTCAAACAAGTACAAAAGATGAATATGTTATTACAGATTAAAGCTAATGTGGCATTACTGACTTTCTTTCTTTGGAATAATCCATCTCCATGCACGTTGATAGTGCCTGGTTGACAGCTGATCTATGTTCCCAGCAGATTGCTGAACGATAAGCCTATTTCTTTCAGTCCGCTATGTGCAGCACCAGCCCAAGCGACAACTTCTATCTTATTAGTTGATGTTGTGGTTTGTCCCTGTCTCCTCATGGTTTTGCACATCTCTCTGATCTGGTATTGGCTCTCTTCTATCCAATCTCTCATATCTTCAACTGTGTATGCTACGAGTCCATCCAAACACTTTAATCCTGATAGTTAGCATCACATTGGCGATATTTGCTAACTGAACTTGAAAGGTTCGATGTCGAAGATGTCTTGCCTGTTGTAGAAGTTCATAGATGGATTTTTCATAACTTAATCTAAAAATACACATCAAAAGTTTGTTTGCCATGACTTAAGGGATATCATGAGGTCATAGTAAGTATTTCTGAAAATTCTCTTAACAAGATTTTCCTTCTTTAGGTTCTTTCCTCTTTCTCGTGAAGGTTGAACCGATCTTTGAACTTCTGTTTCATCAGAATTGAACTTTGGAGAATGAGATCCAGATTCCATGTTTTGACATGCAATAATGTGAGAAGAAGATGACATATGGACATTTTGCTTTCTAGGTACAAGGCTTGTTGGCTTCCTTTGCTGGCCAAACACTGTGAATGTGGAGTAACAGATGGATCTCTGTATGTTCCATTGGACTGTGAATGGATATGGCACTGTCATCGACTCAATCCGGTGGTCATCTATTCTGAGGATTATATCCTTTTTTACAACTGCTTTTTTCAATGTGTTTTGGTGGAAAATACCTTATTCTGTTTCACATTCAGGTTCAATACAAAAAGGACTGTGAGGAAACTTTTGGGAGGATCCTGAATAACCATAATGTTAAATCCTCTCTGCAAGGAAATTCCAAACTTGAAATGACAGAAAAATGGTCTAGGCTGTATCCTGAGGAACCTTTTGAGCTTGACTGTAGCAGTACTTCTTCAGAGGAAATTCTTGATAAGTACCCCGGAGCTGCTTCAAGTATTTCATATGACTTGGTTTCTGCTGTCAAAAGGCAGTCTTCTTTCTGCTACCAGGTTGCTAAACCATTACTGCCTTTTCAGTGTGCTGACAGTATTTGAGGTTCTAGTCTAGTGTAGTATGGCGATTGTTATTCTTTATTCGTCTAACTGTAAGAAACAGGAATGAGTTTAGCAAGGTATGATGAACTTGCAAAAAATTACCTTTTCTTATTTTTATCCTGTTCAGTCAAGGATTTCTTTGTCTAGCCTTCCTCTTTACGGTCAAGGATGACATAAAGGAGTCACTTGTACATGCCATGCTGTTTTGGTCAAGCAAATGAGCATGCTTACATGTGATGACCAGGAACTGTACAATTTGACAAGCTATAAATTCATAACAAGCAAGATCTGTGACTTTTTGATGAGTTATCGGTTCTACAGAACGTCATGAAGATGGCTAAAAGAAATTTTGAGTCTGGGAACCATATAACAATGATTCAGGACATAGTTCATGAACTAATTTCTCCATATAATAAATACTAGAGAATAGAGGTAATGATATTAGAAAATATATTAGGGCTAATAGAACAGGCTGGTTATGGACTTATGGAGATGACGTTTTCATGCTTCTGCAAATGATTCTGATTCTTAAAAAAGAGGACAATAAGATTAGAGTGGCAAATTGTTCTGCTATGTTAAGTTGATCAAGAAAGTTTGAAATGTTTTATCTTATCAACTTCTAGATAACTCAGGGAATTTGACTGGCACTGATGTCAAAACATATTGAAAAGAACTGTAAATGCTTGACTAGAATTAAGAATGGTTGCTGTTGACTTGAAACTGGATTGCCATATGCTTTTGCAAAGACTGATCCAGTACATGCCTATTGAATCTTTCTTGCCTATTAAGGCAAGAAAGAAAGTTTTTAATTTGTCTTCACCTTTCATTTTCCCATTAGGTGAGCTACTATTTATGTTGGAAAATTCCTCAAAGGCATGTCAAAAATAATAAAGATGTAGAATCATATTAATATAGCTTTTGAAACTGAAATCTTGACCTGAACATAGAGCTATTTAAAAAATGTGTAACATTTGTGGTTTTACAAATATGTATTTTAAATTTGATTTATGCTTATTTTGATGTGATTAGATTATCTTTTAAAAAAAGCTGTTTATTTTGCATAATTCTTTGTATGTTTCGATCTGAAACCACAAGTATAGGCATAATTCATGGTTTCTTTTTTTTCTTTAATGTTTGAAAATGGTCATTTTGCTCACACTTCTAAGTCAAAATTGATGCACTATTCATTTAAAGTCATTAGGCAGTTTTGTAGCCAATACTAGTCACACAGGACCACCTGAATATCTGGTTACTTGCTTCAATTTCTACATTGTGTGCATTTGCTTAATGTTGGATTGTTTTAGACTTTTGTATTATGCTTTCCAGTGAAGATTAGTTTTTGGCTTCCTCCAAAGTTGTTTATCACTTTCTGTAAGAAAATTTGTCAGCAGCTATTATATCTGGAAGGGACCAAGTGAATGATGGGATTCAAATATTATTCAATTTTAGCTGGCCTTCTTGATACTATATGATGTACAGACAAGTATACTTTCTAAGGGATGCATGGGTTTTTGTCCTGCATGGTGTCTGATCTCTTTCAGTTTTAGAACTTATCCTTGCTATCTTAAGTTCAACTGGTTCATGCTTGAATGATCTTCTTACCATAAAACTAATGTTGACAGATTGATGACATATCTAATTTGAATTTGTGGTCCATATGATCTCTATTTGGCATGCTATGTCAAATTTGGTCGTCGGAGTTGGGTGGAATGCTTTTTCATCTACATCATCTGAATATTTCCACTCCTTTTGGTTCACAGGAATGCTTCTTTTTTTTTTTTTTTTTTTTTTTCTGATTTCACCCTTGTTATTTGATAGGTCTCAAGACCAAGCATGCATGACAACCGCTTTCTTGAAGCAGCAGTGAACAGATATAAGGGGTTTCTCCATCTAATCAAGAAAAATGAGGATCAGTCAAAGAAACTCTTCTGCGTACCAACTTATGACATAGATCTTATATGGCATTCTCACCAGCTACATCCAGCTTCTTACTGCAATGACATGATTAAGCTGCTCGGGAAGGTATTGGAGCATGATGACACAGACTCTGATAGGTCCAAAGGAAAGAAACTTGATGTTGGATTTAGTGAAACTACAAAGCAATGGGAAGATACATATGGTTTGAGATACTGGAGAGCTGGCACAATGTACAGAGGCAAATTCCCTTCTCAAGTAATATCCCATTCATATTTCTCTAGCCATCGGGATGTAAACAAAACAATACCTTATAATTCCCAGCATTGCATTGCACTTACTCACCCAATGGTGGTTGAGGTAGTATTCAGAAATTATTAAGTTATTCCTTTCATTTTTAACTGAATCCAGTTACGACTGTGCTTTAAGCTTGAAGGCAAGGAACTTTTCAATATTCTGCTTTTAGTCATGTTGATATATGTGATTTACTTCTAAAACAGTTTTCAGATAATTTACAATTGCATTTATTGGATTTAAGTAAAATCTTATAAAAAAAACAGTTTCAGGTCACAAAAACTTTCATGGAAATCATGGAATTTAATTCTCCAAGTTCTTGTATCAATCTTTTTTGTTTTTTTGGCAATATGATCGTGCTATTTGAGTAAAACTTAAATATTGGTGACAGTTGAAAAGTATCTAGAATTTAAAGCCTTGTCACGATAAGCACCAAGCATATCTCTTCTGAAATTCATATTAATGTAATAGGGATTTACATGCAAATAAAGACAACTATCTGTACCTTTCTAGTTTTAGTTACAATCACTCTCTTTTCTTCAGGTACTTTTGGAGATTGTGGAGGTAAAAAACTTACCAGACTGCCAAAAGGGTGACTTGTTTGTATCTTTTAGCAAGAAAAAACCAGACGTGCTCTTCTATGGTGGTGGTACACTAAGCATTCAATCTGAATCTGGTAAGAAACATGTAGCTAGCTTCAAATGTGAACCTACTGGAGAGATGATTTTGGCCCTTACGTCTAAATTGAATTCCAAGATTTGCTCATCTAGGCGAGCCAGTATTATTGGGACAACCTCAATTTCCCTTCAGGACTTGATGAATCCAGATTCTGAATTATCAATTGAGAAGTGGTTCGAATTGAAGTCCCATTCTCGAACTATGGACACTGAACCTGTTTGTCTATGGGTTGCTATGTCTTTTACTGTTCCAGTCCCTGCTCCCTTTGAATTTCGGATGTTCAAGACACACCCTATCTCCACCAATACATGCTTCTTACCACTTTCAGGAAAGGAAATGTTCAGAAGTTGGACTTGTTTCCTTGATCATAGTGGTGATGAAGTCATCCGTTTATGCATCAGGTATGCATAGCACATGTAGGCCTCCAAATAATAGTCTCCACATGATTGTAGTTGACGTATTTTGAGCTAGATCAGCGTGTCATTGTTGGGTGAGCGTCAGACGTAAAAAAAAAAAAAAGAAATACCTTCTCTCCTGCTGCTATGGTATCCTGAGGAACACATTTGGAATATAGGAAAATATTTTATCAAAATGATAGGAAGTAAATAGTATTTCATTCTTTTCATCTAAAATATCACATCTGACTAGCCGGCTGTAAGCATGTAACATTCACCTCGATATTTATGATTTTGCAAAGTAGATGATATTCTATCAGAAAGGTATTGAATGCTAATTGGCTGTTAGTTTAAATTCCACAGAAATTTGAAGAAATCAAAAGGTTCAAACACTACTGCTTCAGAGAAGAAAGTGGTTGGCATATCAAGTCTATGGAGACAACAACGCCTGCTAGCAGAGTGTGCAGATAACAGATGGTCACTGAATGACTATAATTTCTCACTAGTTGTTGAGAAGATAAAAGGTCAAGATGGTTCTATACTTGAGATCAAAGGTGATCACCAGGTTAGTGCATCTAGTACAAGTTCAGTGAACTACTAATCCATAATGAAAATTGGTGTTTCTCTTGATATCTTACTCGTGATGTGCCTATCGTTGTTATTTGGTCAAAAAATATTAACAATGCAATGACACAACTATTAGATATTCCTTCTTTTTAACCTGCTAAATATGCTGAGAGTGCTTGACTTGTTATGTTATGCAAGGAGTGATGTGGCTTTCCGGTTGCTGAATTCATGCCATGGTATGTCATACCATATTATCTAATGTCATACACCAAGGCTTGTTAGGAAAATATATGCAGGCATGACCACCATGGTCCATGCACCGATGTACACTAGATACACATTCAGTGGTACAAGACAGCACAATTCATCAAGCATGGCCCATAGTCACAAACCACATACTCTGTTATCGCTATGCTCCCCATCCACTCAACAGAGGAGTACAGCCATCCATCTATGCTTCATTAGTGCAACCCATGTATAGCAAATGCCAGGGATTAAAGTAACTTCTTGTATTTAATTGAAGAGGAAAACAGTTAATTGGTGCTGTGGGTGCCAAGCCTCTTACATTCCAGAATTTTGAAAGAAAATATTGCATGCTATGTGTAAGAACATATGGAGTAAGACATTTCTGAAGCTGATTTACGGGTACTTGAAATGTGAAAGAGTCATATTGTGGACTGGCAAAAGAATATTCTTGATTTATGTGCATTTTGTTCAACTGTAATCCTTGAATGCCATTTACAAGAGCAAAACAAGTGCATAAAATATTTTTGCAGCAAACTGAGCTTCATTTCCAGTTGTTACTACCCATGTTTGCTGCCACATCTTGAATTGCATTTCAATTTAGATTGTTTTGGAGGCCTCATCTTAGCTTTGTTCAGTTTTTCTTCACGATAAGATCATGATATCCTTCATTAGAATTGCCGTGTCTTCAGAGACCGGTTAAGTTTAGAACGATAAAGAGAAGATTAGTGTGACCCCCTTGCGAAGATTAGCTTGATCGTTGTACAATGATGACATGCACAAATCGAGAAATGGATCATTAAAATTGCCACAGGCTTAATCAGCTAACTGCTCCTATGTGATATCCTTTTTCAAGTCTTACTTATATAACGAAGACAATAAAGAAGAAACCAGTTAGCCAAGGCAACATGGATGGGAAAATTAAGCGAGATTGGGATTTAAGCAAATAAAGTAGCTACCAGGTTATCATGGAATGAGACCCTCTGATAGTGCTAGAAGTAGAAATTTGTGAAGCTGCAGATGATCACAAATCATCTCAATACAACTGGTTCGATTCAAACAAGAGAATATCACTGCCACATCATGTCAGTTTACTATAACTGAGAATATTTGATGTCTGTGAACATGAAGTCTTTTTATTTGCTCCAAGTAGCAATATTCAATCATAAATAAGAGTAGATTAACTTCTTTGCGAAACTGTTGAATGCCGATCAGCCAATCTATGATGCTATCTTGTATTCGGGCTGTCGTTGCACTTGGTTTTGTATTGCACTTGTTATTCCTTTGTTTTCTCGATACATTCAAGTTATAGGAATTTACTAACATCTCATCCTTTTAACAGATGAAGCTGTTCCTCGGAAAATGGCTGGAATATGAATCCGACAGTTTAAAGGTAAGGAATGACAAGGAGTTGTTCATCACACTCGTAGAGTTATCAGCTGAAAATCCATATGGAAAAGCAGTAGCATTGTTTGACATGAAATCGAGCTCAGTCGAGGTAATATAACCTTTCTGCCTGCTATCCAGATTTGTCCTTCAACAAAGTGCTCGTATTACTTACTGCACCTCCTTGGCAAATAGGTGAATGAGGAGAGGTTTGTTTTGCTTGGTGTCCTGTTGGCCTTCATACTCAAAGACATAATTAAAGGAGGAGGAGAAAATGCCCTCCTCATTCTCAACAAAGAAGATGTAGAAGAGATCTCCAAATCAAATGTTGAATCTGTTAAACAGAAGTCGGAAAGAGGTTTGACTCAAATCCCTCCCTGGCAGCAATAGTAGCTGTTATCGGAACAGGCGTTGACCCGAGATTAAGCGTGGAAACCGTGTGTGACGAGTGTGGAGGTGATATGTTGGCTGGTGTTCAGAGTGGCGGCGGCTGTGGTGATGCTAGCGGCGCAACTGCGAACGCAACGATCGACCCATGTAATCTACTTACTGCTTGGATGATGAATAATGTGTTGGCGAGGCCTGCACTGTGTGCGGACAAAGACGTACTCTGTTGATGTAATGCAACGTTGAAGCTTTTGCTTCTCTTCGTACGTTGAGCTCTACTCACAGGTGCAGCGTTGTGACGGACGATCTCGCAAGCTTAGGCTTCGAGAGCTGAGACGTCAGTTCTGGTTCACCAGAATCATCGGGTCGGGTATGAACTAGATCAGATCCACAATGATGTGCTCGGCTTCGATAGTCGACGTGAAGTACGGATCACGTATCCCCAACTTCGACCCGTCGCCTTGCCGGATTTGGATCCGCATCTTAGTGCTGCGAGGTGGTTTTCTTGATAAATCTATATGAAAGATTAAATGATCGGAGCCCCTCAGCCGGCTGATCTTTCTCGCGGTCCAAATCAATTCTAATCGAACCGTTGAGGGTTAAACCGAATCAAATCATTTTTTCGGTTCAATTAAAGATACTCTCAATTAGAACTGATTTGGATTTATCTAATAGAATAAATTAAAAAAATAATCAATTTATAATTTTAAATATTTTTTTTAAAATATATATTTAAAATAAATCAGTTTAATTCAATTAAACGGAACCAGAATCTTGGTGACTTCAATCCGATCGATATCTTTCAAGTTAAAATCGATTCGATTCGATTCGATTCGATTTGGTTCAATTAGTTGACCGAACTAAAGAAGGATACGCTCGAACTAGAACTATTTATAATTTTCAAATCGAAACATTTGTGAACCAATTCAGACCGAACCGATTTTGAATTGGTTTAGTTTCGATGTGATTTGATCTTTCGATTTAATTTAAATCAGCTTTCTTCTCGACGACCTTTGCGTCGCATCATCCTCTCTGCCTTCTTTCTCGATAAGGATTTCGATATATGAGCTTAGCATTCTATGGCGACAAGGCATGATGGGGAGCATCCTCTCGTCGAGCTTCTTAGATGATGGTGGTCGAGGAGACATAGTGATAGCCTAATCTTGATCGTCCATTGAGAGTGTAAGACTTTCAAATCTCGATGCAAACATCAATACTTACAATTTGTTATTTGAATTCATAATTCTAATCCCAAAGCAATTTGAATTCATAATCCTAATCAAAGTAAGTTCCTAAATGACTTGGGAAACTGGATTCGATAAATCCTCACTCGAAGTCGGAAACGTAGTCGTGTCTATATCATGTCTTCTTCCTGTTCTCCACATCCCTCATCACCTCTCTACCGACTGCTCTTTTGCCTCTTCTGCTTCCTCCCGCCTCGCGTTCGAATCGAACATGGGGAGGTCATCGCCGGCTCCTCTGCTTCCTCCCGTCGCCCAACACCTGCAGCAGAGCTCTCTCATGGTCTCCTCCCCGGTCTCAGGAAGCTTGAGCTTAGAGCCACCGGATGAACAACACATGAGTTTTTTCCTCTATCCCCTCATCCTTGTCCTAGCGGCTGTCACGTTAGCCTTCTCCTACTACCTCCACAAAAGACGCGTTCCAGACCGTCGTCTGCCGGTCTATTTGCCGCAGCAGGATCGACCTGCCCGCCCTACAACCGTGCCAAATTTAGCTACAAAGACCGACGTGTGCGCGGAGATTCCGGTCATCGTCTACGGCGACGGCAGGTCTCCTGCTGAGGCCGACGAGAAGGAGAGCTGCGCGATATGCTTGGATAACTTTGAGGCCGGAGGGGAGGTGGGGATGCTGCCGCGATGCAGCCACATGTTCCACCCTGCGTGCATCAAGAAATGGTGGCTCTATGCCGACTGCAAGACCTGCCCGCTTTGCAGGGCCGTCGTGATCGCAGAAACAGCAGCAGTAACAGAACCGTGAGAAACAGCAGCGGCCGGCGGTGCTCGCGGTGTTTGCAGCGGTCCATCATCGGCCAAAACTAGATGGCGGTGCAGCTATACATGCATGTCTTCTTCGTATCCTCCGATCCTTGCTTCCTTCCATGCGTCTGCAATGCTTGCAACAAACGATCCAATCGATGTAATCAACACCGTTGCTCAGCAACAATTGAACCTTTTGATTTGTTGTTAGTATCGGTCTCGGTTACAGTATTTCTAAATAGACTTTATTCTAAATCTATTCGAGAAATATCATATAACTAATATTATAAATCCATCAGTCTAATATTAGAAATCATCATAAATAAAAAGGCATGTAAATGAAGGCGGAGAAATACTTAAAAAAGAGAGATTTTTCTCATGAAATATATGTACAGCCTATATTTTTCATGATTAATTACCCTTTATATTTTGATCCTTATATTTTCAAAAATTATATTGGGATCTATGAATATTTAACCTCATATAAGTATAGAAATATTAATACATTTAATCTCATAAATATAATTTGTTTTCGAGATTGTTTTATCCGTAACGTGAGTCGTGTCCTAAGTCGGTCTCTAGGAAGTTGTACTTAAGCCAACAGTGACCCACGAACGACTCGTGTGGCGCCTGTCACGACGACAGAGAGGATGAGGCGGTGGTTCTCCGTTGTCGCAGCCGTCGTCGCTGCTCTCCTCGCCGTCGCCGCCCACGTCTCCCTCTACTCCCCCATCTCTCCTCTCCCTCTTCCCGTCTCCCCCTTCACCTTCACCCCCAACAACCTCCTCCAGGTTCTCCCTTTTACTCCTCGTTGGTCCTGCTATGTGTGTGCGCTCATACTCACGTCTTCTGCCTGTGTTGTGGGCACGCAGAGGGCGGAGAAGCTGGGAGAAGGCAGGCTGGAAGGGCCCGAGGACGTGTATGTCGACGGCGATGGCACGCTGTACACCGCCACAAGGGACGGTTGGATCAAGAGGATGCATGCAGCAAATGGGTCTTGGGAGGACTGGAGGCTGGTGGGCGGCTCGTCTCTGCTGGGATTCACCCTCTCCGTCTCCGGTGACGTCCTTATTTGTGATGCCGATAAGGTTGGCCTCTCTCTCTCTCTCTCTCTCTCTCTCTCTCTCTCTCTCTCATTAGGTTACCTCTTGACAGGGTCTGCTGAAGGTGGGAAAGGAAGATGTGGTCATTCTTGCATCAGAAGTGAACGGCAGCAAGATCAGGTCTGCCTTCCCCTCTTCTTCTTATTTCTCAGTGAAGTCCACAGTAATCTGCAGTAAGACAACCCTCCATGAAATTTCTGCACCACTACTGCAAGATTCCTCCGTTCAATGCATTGTCAATTGTCGTTGTCTACCACACCATTGTCAAACCTGTGTTTTGTTGTCATGTTTGCCATCCTCTTTGGTTGATGGTGATGGGTAATCTCTATGCCTTTGATCTGCTTATAGCTTGTCCATTGTCTGTTCTGTTTTATTGCAGCATTTATATCAGCCTCTTTCAAATGTGTGCCCACCATTGCTTAGCCACTGAATTGGGTTGGCAGCTTGTGTGACTCTTAGAACACACCAAAAAGCCAAAGGTCTGCGACGTTGACGTAGCATCATGTCTCATCTTTCATCGTTGTTCTTCTTTCGTATCCAAACAACCACCGATAACCCAATAGTATTGTCATCTATCACCATCGAAAACGTAACTAAAATATTGAAATGAAGTTAGATACTTCACTTTCAAATATAAAATTTTTTAAGTTTAAAAATTAAATATAATTTTTTTAAATTTAAAAATCAAAATACTAAATAGATCTAACTAAAGAAGACAATCTATAATTAGCTCCTCACACATCTCAAGTGTTTTTTTGGGTTTTGTGAGAATCACAAGTACATGTCAAGCTTGGTTTCACTTGTTGCATGTTATCTTACATCAGTATAAAATGACATAAATTAAACATATATGTATGTCTAATATTACATGTTATTTCTACAATCCTACTGGAAAATGTTCATATTTGTCTTTCAGTACTTCCAATTACTATTTTTATAAATATATGTATTTACATATAGTTAAGAATATTATCTTTATTAGATCTTGAGGAGAGATGCATTCTCTTTCAGCTGCTACTAGTTTCTACCTCAACTAAGATATGAACGAGCAATTACTGCATCCTGCAAAGAACCAGATGACACTGACACTACAAACGCGAGGTTTCTGTAGGTTTGCGGACGATGTCATCGAAGTTTCCGATGGCAGCGGAGCGTACTTCAGCGACGCCAGCAGTAGGTTCGGCCTTCACGAATGGTTTCTCGACCTCCTCGAGGCCAGGCCCAATGGCCGGCTCCTCAAATTCGACGCCTCGACGAAGGAGACGACGGTGGTGCTGGCGGACCTGGTCTTCCCCAACGGCGTCGCCCTGTCGTCCGACCAAGACTTCCTGGTGGTGTGTGAGACATGGAGGTGTGCAAAGTGCTTCCATGGCATTGCTTGTCTGCTTCTTGTTTCGGTTGTGTTCGGTGTGCTGCTCTTCTGACTCGTATCAGTTCGAACCCAGGTTCCGGTGTTTGAAGCATTGGCTGAAGGGGAAGAAGACGGGGGAAACCGAGGTTTTCATTGACAACCTCCCGGGAGGACCTGACAACATCAAGCTAGCACCCGACGGCTCCTTCTGGATCGCCGTCCTGCAGGTACTCTGTTTGCACTCTTCCTCTAACCCGTCCTCGCTTCGGTCCTCCTCACGTAGCTGACACCGTGTGGCACTGTTTCAGTTGCGGTCGAAAGGGATGGACCTGCTCCATCGATCACCGACGGCGAAGACAGTGGTGGCGGCGTTTCCCAAGGTTGTTAAGGCGCTTCAGGCCATGGGAAGAGGCGCCATGGTCGTGAACGTGGGGAGCGATGGGAAGATAAGAAGGATGCTCGATGATTCTGATGGCAAGGTCATGTCCTTCGTCACCTCCGCCATGGAATTCCAGGGCTATCTCTACCTGGGCAGCCTGCACTCCAACTTCGTCGGCAAGCTAAACATCCGCAGCGATCATCCGCTTTGATGGCAGCGAAGAGCAGAAGAGCTTGTCACCGAGCTCCATCAACATATACTCTTCCTTGCACCGTCTCACTCGACCTTCCTCTTCGGAATGCATGCCATGTTTCGAAGTGTAGCTTGAGTTCCTCTTTGGAAAGATTAAGACCCCAATAATTCTGCTGACAGGATATTAATCTAAGTTTAGAGTATCTATTTGCAAAATTTACCTAAATTTAGAGTATCTCGAATAATTATGAAGTTGATTAGGGACGTATATGCAATTAAATGATTGATTAGGTTATAACGACGCGATGGAGTTCTTCAGATTTACATCGACGGCTTCGATCATCCTTCGGCTCGGATGACTTGATCGTAAATATCGTTGAAGTGCAGGAGTATATGTGTAATTTAAGGAGGCATTTGTATATATATATAGGGGTTGAAACCGCCTTTCCCGCCCCGTGCGTGGATTCGATTCCCTGTTCTTCTTCCCTTCGCCCAATTCTCCGCCGCTGGTAAGCGAAGTTAGGGTTTCTTTTCCTTCTTTCTTGTTGAACAATGTGTTCCGGCGATTTCTTTGCAATGTATTGATGTTTTTACCGAATCTTGCGTCATATATAGGAGGGATTAATCTACTATTCCTTTCTTTATTTCGGATGAACGCGAAAGCCTTGCGAGTCTGTACGGAAATTGACCTATCAATGTCGATCTGGAGGACGAGTCGGTGCGTTTCTTTTAGAAGGTACCATTATGATGAACGAGCCGCTTTTCATCTACGGTTTGGATGTTTTGAACAGATCTATGCTTTCTGCAGGCTTTCATCGAATTGTTTGGTAATCGGTTTTAGTGAGGGTATGGGAACGCGATGCCCTTATTTTGACTTTACAGTTCGGTCAAATTTATGAGGTTTGTTCATATGAATGCATCATACGGCTTTGAAATGTTTACACTTTTAGCTGATTGAAATCACTTTTTTCATCGATCCCAATATGGCATACGTTAGATCTATTTGCTGTGTGCTTTTTGTTGAAATACTATGCATAGAAAGAATGGACACTTATGCTTCCATTAAGAAGGTGATATATTGACTAAGAAAAAGAGGTTTTAAATAGTTTGTGGGTAATAAATACCCCACAGAAAATTTTCCTACAAGGAAAGGAAAAAAGCATCAAACAAACTTGTGATATATACAAAGCATGAGGGATGGATTATGATCAAATGGTGTGAAACCGTTCAAAGTTGCATCCAGAGTCATCGTAAGTAAAAAAGCATGAGGGATGGATTATGATCGAATGGTGTTATTTCATTTACTGAATATCTTTAATGAATAAAGCGAAATTGTAAAGCCTGATATAGAAAGATTAAGCATTTGAAACCAACGGTACTTAGCTATTGCCATCTACTTTATCTTGACTTTGATTTCTGATTTTTGAGCAATTTCGTTTGAACTCTCAGACCTTTGACAAAATAATTGATTTATACACCCATACAAGTAGGATCGTCTGGTATTGTATATGACCATGCTTCTTCTATATGTAGGTCCTATCTATTCAGTATACAGCCCTAGTATATGGTTATGTGTCCAATGCTAACACCTGCTAGCTCGTGCAGAAGTCAAACTTGAAACTTTAGCAAGCATGTACAATGGTTTGGGCTAACTTGGTGTTTGTTACAAACTAGTCAAGCCAAGGGCTGATAATCAGTGACTCCTTGAAATTAATCTCTTAAGCATAATAGCCAGCATTTGGCACTAAATCGCATGAAACCATGTTCCTACTTGTCCAAACCTTTTTCATCAGTAAATATTCCTACTATATGTATATCTTACTATTTTTCACATTGATATAGGACCATTGCATGGGCCTTTAAAATGTCAAAATATCAGTTCTTAGTGATACTTAATGTACCATCCTAACATTGAAATATTTCATGTTGATCTTAAATCATTTTATATGATACTTGTTGTTGACGGTAGGTGTTAAAATTGTTCTACAATTATCTGATCCATTGAGTAAACCAAGAAACCTAACAAGTTGACCTAAATGAAAATGAATAGGATCAGACTCAAGATTTTGACCAGATTAAGACATCGATGGGGTGGGATTATGTCAAAAAGTGTACAAACTAACACGCTTGCAAATTTCTGTGCATGTATGTGCTTGTGAGCACTGTATCTCTTAAGTCCACCAGAGTCCTAGAACAACAACCTTTGTCAAGGTTGAAGAATCTGTGTAAGCCTTTTGTACTAAAGTTTTTCTCACAGTTGTTAAAAGTGAAGTTCTGCTTTTTTAGCAGTAACTTTTGACCATGTTAAACGTGAGATAATTACCGAAGTGGCATACTGTCCCAAATTATCCCACCAGCTCTGAGTATACTTCTTCCTTTCATAAATAAAACCTCTGAGGCAGTTGTTGGTTCAATGCTCTGGAAAGCTTTAAGTTTTTTTGACTTCATTGAAAGTTAATCTTTTGACTTTATTGTTATTATTTGTCCATTTACCTTACACAAACGTTATAGTGCAATGCTATCCTTGCTTTGGTTAAGACTTCTGTGATGTTTTAGCTTATTCCTACAATTGTTAATGGAAAGAAAAGCAACAATTCATTGTATCATGAACATTTTTCTATATGATTGAAACCATAGAAATAGTGTAGTAGCTGCTAAGTTTTGAAATTTTGTGCCAAACTCATTGGCACTTGACTACCAATAATATTTTGCAGATAGCTGGACTGGAGAAAAGTAATTTGAGATATATTAAGATGCCACCCTTTTTATCTATTGTTTAAGAGATTTGCTTTACATGGAGATGCATGACTAATGTAGCTTCCAGCTTCTTGTTTCTACAATTGGTACGTTCTGTTATCGTTGCTGAGCACTATTTAGATCATACGTGAATGAAAATCTTGAATATTTTATTTTCAAGTTGATGGTAAAAAAGTCATGGTACGTCATCCCCAAGGATGAAAATGTCGAATTGCTTACATATTTAAGGATAGTGGATCCCAAGGACAGTTGTAATCTTTCCACTTCAGGGAAGCATTTTTTTTTGCACTTTCTAGGTGCATTGGTCCGTAAAATTATATGGAGAGCAATTCAACAAATCACATGCCATCTTCCTTCTATTCTTAATTGTGTGATGTGTCTAAACCCTACAAATCTAATAGGGTCTCTTTTATATTCCATGTGCATCTCGAGGGATAATTTAGGGTCAAACAGTGTGGAGGAGTCTTAATGGGTCCACATGGAGGAGCTCTTTCTCTGTCACCTAGACTTGGTACAACTGCTTCCGTCAATATTTTATAGTTCTTTATCTTTCACAGATCTGGCTATTTTATATTGTGAAGTAGCACTGTAGACGAATAGAACCTGCTGTAGCATGCTTTAACTTGTTCTTGCGGATTCCACTTTAAATGTCATAATGAAGAAAAGGACACTTGATTCCTGACACTTGATCTTTGACAGAAATTGTGCACGTAAATTGGTGATTACTTGAGCAACTCAGTATCTATTTTTTGATATTTAATTATTAAACAAGAAAAAAAATGATGCTCTCAATCCTCATTATACCTTTTAAAAAATATGCTTTCACTTCATTAGACATTCTTCTGTCTTTTTTCTGTACATTATTTTGACATATTTCGATTACAAATTATTGTTTTGTGTATGAAAAATTATTGTTCATGTTCATTGTCATGTTTTAGTTAACTTTCTTGCTATGTATGAAGCAGATAATTGATCACATTCCATGCTTCTGTTAACTCCTTTTTGTCTGAGATAAAGGTCTAATTTCTGTTACAAGCATTCATCGTATGTTAAACTAGTACCTCAAGTTCCCTTATGGCCTTCTATCATGTGCTATCTACCTGCGTGTTTAATATACGACATAAAAGACCGTTGACATAGGCTGAGTAACGGAGAACATAGTTTATCATAATTTAGTGGCCTTGGTACTAAGTTGTATGATGTGAACTACTCATGCCCAAGTCTTGCTATATAGAGGTAAGGGATGTGGAAGACACATGGGGGGAATTTTAAAGGTTAATCTAGCAGATCGAGAGAACTGTTTGAATGCTCAATTAAACCCATGGAGATCTCGAATTGCAGATGCTTAAATGTGATCCTGCAGTTCCTGCCAGTGCCACCCGTGACACTGTTGTTTGGGTGGTCAGGGTTAAGGTTGTGGAAACAGTCACTAGGGTCAAAACTGCTATATGCTGACCCTCGTCAGAACTCATGCTGACAGGAGCATGTACATTAGCTTTGTCGGTGAGTGATTCAGTCAGCTTTTGGGGTTTGGATTTTCCCCTGATTTTGTGACCCCCATTTCATCTATAACCTCATGTGGGTCCGTGGTTGGAGATGGTCGGTCGCTCCAACAGCTGGTGTCCGTATTTGTTTGGAATGACCGAATTTTGGAGCAGCGAGAAACATGATCAACCGTGTGGATGATTCGACAGAAACCTCATGGTTTCTTCTCCGTTAGTGTGCTGAATCAGTGGGTCTTGTTTGTCTCTGCTGTCCCTTCCCTTTGATAAACCTTATTGATTACAAGAGTGGCACGTTCTCTTTTGCTCTATTATTTTCCACTTGGATCTCATTTTAATTACATTTCTTCAGTGGTACTGTTGTCTCTCCTGTACCCTTCCCTTTGATTAACCTTATTGATT